GGAGAAGATATCTCTGACTACATCAACTTAGACAATCTAGATTAGAAAACCTTTCAGTCTTGTAAAATCTTGTATATTTTTATCGTTTCTTTCAGTGTATAGTTTTTATGTCTTAAGCCTACCAAAACCAATTGTAATCAGTTGTAGTATTTTCTATTGTAAGACATTTCGATAAAATGATTGGCTCACTGAAAAATATCCCTGAAAAGGGTAAATGGAGCATGTACTTATGAGTTCTATTTATTTCTTACATTCGCTGACACTCTTCTAGTAAGTGAATAAGCTCTCAGTATTTAGTTATTCATATTATGTAAGTTTATTCTTTCCTTGTAATCCTTACAATTAAAGTTAATTTCAATAATAAACTTTATCACTGAATAAGATCCCAAAACAGTTAAAAGGGACAAGTATTTTATTGGTACCTTTTCTTACTGTAATACCGAAGCAATTTTCTTTATGCTGCTTTGTCATCATCAAATAGGGGGAGATTGTTGATTCTCTCTCTTAGTGATTTGATGGTGATCCTTTTTATCTTATGAATTGTACTCTCTCTTTATTCGGCTTCAGTGATCATCACTAAGTCTGTTCAGTGATCGTTGAACAAGTATTGTAATTCTCTCAGAGACAAGTATTCTTTAGGAAGACAAAACTCACACCATAGAACCTTCAGTGATATCGAAGATAAAGATGAAGACAGAGACAAGCAAGTTTGTGAACTGATGCAGTTTTCAGTGATAACAAGTCTGTCTACACATGTGTGAAATCTACTCAAGATTCAGCGAACACTGAAGAAACCTCAGTGTTATTCAGTGACAGCGATCAAATGAATCTTATTGAACAAGATTAGTTTTTGTCTTGTCCTTCTACACACAAAAGACAAATACATACCTCTCAAAGTAAACTACCTGTACGGACTCACTCTATTTTCCCCAAGCGTGCTTACCTATGAAAGACTACTGTTAATATATGGCAAAAGCCTATATATCTGGAACAAAGGATAAGCTCACCTCTAGAAGCTTGTCATGTGCTTTGTACCGTCTGACTCGCATTTAATGCAACATGTATAAATAGCTGAGAAGATCTTTCTTCTAAGTATCTCTCAACTAACACTCAACCAGAGGAAGCAAACTGATGCCAAGAATTCTACTTCTTGAAGATCAACTCTCTACTTAAGAAAAATACTTCTTCCCAAGTACAAGACTTCTTAACCTTTTCTTTAAGCAAGTCTTTTCTTTCTTGCTTTATGTATCTTGTGTGTTTCTTTGATTGTTTAGATAAGTCTTATATCTTATCTTTTCCGCAAACAATCTGTAAAATTCTATATTAATCTTCTTTATCAATAAAAAGGATTTTAAAAAATGAAAGTTGTTATGTTTGTATTCATCCCCCCTCCTATCTACAAACTGTTACCTTTAAACTCTTGTAGATCCGACTGGGACCAACAGGCTAGCACTCCCATGATCGGTCAAAGTGTTGAATAAAGGGAATTATCCATTTTGCCTAAAGGATGATAACGAAGAGGTGTTGGGAGTTGGAATTCCCTACAATAGGCACATTATTGTACTTAGCACAATAAACTTGACCGCATATTGAATTTCTCAATGAACTTGTTAGCTAGATATAGCTCAGTGCCAACCGCAACGTCATTGGAATGATGCCAAATTAAGCTTTTGGAACCATTGACATGGGCTTATACTTTCCATATAGAGAGAAAAATAGGATTGGTAATGGAACTTCAATACCTACTTAGATAGTGAGAGGCAAAGGTATTAGCCTTTATAGAAAAACACCAAACAATATCTTGGTATGTATTTGCTGATATTAGGTATTTGTCTGACCCATACAAAGGTTGTTCCTAAACTGGATAAGGAATTACCATTGGGAACATGTCGATTGCTTGGAAGTAAACTAAGCAACCCTTGTAGCGACATCTTCGAACTATTCCAAGAATATTACCCTACATGAGACTATTCAATAGAGTACATAGTTAAGGACTATCATTACACATTAGATAAACTAGTGTTTTGAGTTCATTCAACACCTTACTTGCATATATGGGAATAATGCATCATGTATTAAAGAAATGAAAGTAAGATACATTAAAGGTGATAACACAAAGCATATTCTGCTTAAGTTTTTATACAATCAGCAATAACAAACTATCATCAAGATTCAAGTGAATCAATAAAGATGCAAGGAGAATGTAACATATTTGTATACCAAATCATTACCTAAAATCATATTTGGGAAACATGTAGAATGTATTAAAATGCAAATGTTTTCCATAGTCCCTTGTAATGCATGAATTGGGGGGAGTAGTACACAAAATGGGGAGTCTACTATGTATGTAATATTGGTATCTTGTGTTTTTTTCTTCACCCAAGGTTTTATTTTTCCCATTAGATTTTGTTTCTTAGTGTAAGGTTTTAATGAAGCAACAATTTATATATTATCCTACTTTCCTAACTTTCATGATTAATGTACGAATCTAAGAAAATATTATACCAAAGGAAAAGTCTATGTATTGCAAAAAAGCCGTGCATTATACTCTTTCCTTCATCCTATTTTAATTCTTTCCCACTGGATTTTTATTTGGGCATAAGGTTCTAACGAGGCAACGATTATGTATCATTACTCATTCGACTCAGCACAAGGGGGAGTGTTGTATGATAAATGTGTCATCATCAAAAGGATATGAAGATAGAAACAAAGATAAATATACCAAAGCTAGTTTACAACTGAAATATCTCATAGTTATCTACCTATAACACATCCATATATAATCTATACTATATTATAATGCATTTGGCTAAAACTCTTAAAAACTCTTAAACTCTTAAAACTCTTAAACCCGTTCATCCCTA